CCCCGGTCTATTTTTAGCTCCCGATGCAGAACCGGGGGTGGGGGAGGGGCGGGAGAAGCGCAGCCCGGCCCCTCCCCCACCCTGCGGAGGCACCGCCCCTCCCCCACCGCGGGGGGATGGGGGGAGGGGCCTGAACGGGGGGGGACCCCCGGGGGGAGGGGGGGAGGGGCCCGCGGGGTCACCCCGGGGTCACTTTGGGGACCCCCCTGTGGTCACTCGGACATTGGGGACACCCTGGGGGTCACCCTGGGGGCGTTGGGGTCACCCCGGGGTCGCTTTGGGGACATTGGGGACACCCTGGGGGTCACTTTGGGGACACTCTGTGGTCACTTTGGGGGCACCCTGGGGGGTCACTCGGACATTGGGGACACCCCGGGGGTCACCCTGGGGGCGTTGGGGTCACCCCGGGGTCACTTTGGGGACATTGGGGACACCCCGGGGTCACTCTGGGGGTGTTTGGGACACCCCTGGGGTCACTTTGGGGACCCCCCTGTGGTCACTCGGACATTGGGGACACCCTGGGGGTCACCCTGGGGGCATTGGGGTCACCCCGGGGTCACTTTTGGGGTGTTGGGGACACCCCGGGGTCACTTTGGGGACACTCTGTGGTCACTCGGACATTGGGGACCCCCCTGGGGTCACTTTGGGGGTGTTGGGGACACCCCGGGGGGGTCACCTGGATGGTTTGGGGGTCACTCAGATCTCGGGGTCCTCCCTTGGGTCACTCTGGGGACGTTGGGGACACCCCGGGGTCACTCAGACATTGGGGACACCCCTGTGGTCACTTTGGGGACACCCCTGTGGTCACTCTGACATTGAGGAAACCCCAGGGGGGTCACTGGGGTCACCCCAGTGGTCACTCAGACATTGGGGACACCCCGGGGTCACTTTGGGGACACCCTGTGGTCACTCACACATGGGGGACACCCCTGTGGTCACTCTGACATTGGGGTCACTCTGTGGTCACTCTGGGGACACTGGGGACACCCTGTGGTCACTTTGGGGACATTGGGGACACCCCTGTGGTCACTTTGGGGACACCCCAGTGGTCACTCAGACATTGGGGACACTCTGTGGTCACTTTGGGGACACTCTGTGGTCACTCAGACATTGGGGACACCCTGTGGTCACTCTGGGGACATTGGGGACCCCCTTTGGTCACTCAGACACTGGGGACACTCTGGTCACCCTGAGGTCCTTGGGGACCTTTGGGGGTCACTCAGATCTCGGGGTCCCCCCTTGGGTCACTCTGGGGACACCCCAGGGGTCACTCTGACTTTGGGGACCCCCCTGTGGTCACTCTGACATTGGGGACCCCCCTGTGGTCACTCTGGGGACACCACTGTGGTCACTCAGACATTGGGGACACCCTGTGGTCACTCAGACACTGGGGACACTCTGTGGTCACTCTGGGGACACTGGGGACACTCTGTGGTCACTTTGGAGACCTTGGGGACACCCCTGTGGTCACTCTGGGGACACTGGGGACACTCTGTGGTCACTTTGGAGACCTTGGGGACCTTTGGGGGTCACTCAGATCTCGGGGTCCCCCCTTGGGTCACACTGGGGACATTGGGGACACCCCAAGTGTCACTTTGGGGACACCCCAGGGGTCACTCGGACATTGGGGACCCCCCTGTGGTCACTCTGGGGACATTGGGGACCCCCCTGTGGTCACTCTGGGGACATTGGGGACACCTCAGGACATTTGGGTGACCCTGTGGTCACTCTGAGGGCACCCTGTGGTCACTCGGGCATTGGAGACACCCCAAGGGTCACTCTGGGGACATTGGGGACACCCCTGTGGTCACTTTGGGGACACCCCAGGGGTCACTCAGACATTGGGGACACCCTGTGGTCACTTTGGGGACACTCCAGTGGTCACTCAGACATTGGGGACACCCTGTGGTCACTCTGGGGACACCCCAGGGGTCACTCAGACATTGGGGACACCCCTGTGGTCACTCTGGGGACATTGGGGTCACCTCAGGGACATTGGGGTCACCCTGTGGTCACTCTGACCTTGAGGACACCCCAGGGGGGTCACTGGGGTCACCCCAGGGGTCACTTGGACATTGGGGACACCCTGTGGTCACTTTGGGGACACTGGGGTCATCTTGGGGGGGGTCACTCGGACACTGGGGACACCCCTGTGGTCACTCTGGGGACACTCTGGTCACTCCGTGGTCACTCAGTGGTCACTCTGGTCACTCAGTGGTCACTCAGGGTCACTCAGGGTTACTCTCGTCACTCATTGGTCACTCAGGGTCACTCTGGTCACTCATTGGTCACTCAGGGTCACTCTGGTCACCCCCGTGGTCACTCTGGGGTCACTCTGGCCGTGGCCGGAGTGACCTTTGCCCTTTGCCCTCCGGCCAGGTCGGCGCCCTCGGCCCCCGCCGCCCCTCCCCCCGCCGCGGGCGAAGGGGGAGGACCCCCGGCCCCTCCCCCCAACCTGACCAGCAACCGGCGGCTGCAGCAGACCCAGGCCCAAGTGGATGAGGTGGGGGAGGGGAGGGGGGAAAGGGGGAGGGG